AGTGAATCAGGACAGATATGTCAGGGAGCAACCAATTCCGTGCTTTGCTTACTATTTTGAGTTGATATTTTTAATTTTATAACCTCAAAATTTGCTAGAATTGCAATGATACAGAGTGAAATTCACAAAGTAAAATGGTCACTCCAGGGAGAAGGAAGTTTGCAAGAGAGGAGATATCCATTTTTTAGCCCATCTGTCAAGAGCTGATTAGTCTGAATTTGTTACCAATATTGTGAAATAAAAAATTTAGCATCATTTATCCATGAATAAAGAGTTGAAATGAACCTGGAATGCTGTAATTAAACTTTCAAAATTCTAAATTACTTTTAGATATTCAAATTAGTTCAAAGAGAAAACCAATACCAAAGAACAATCAGAAAATACGCCATTTAAAATCCAATGTCACTGAACATTTCAAACCACAACACTATTAGTCTAAAAAGTGTTAGAATTTTAATCCTAAAACAAATAGCAGGGAATGGTGCTCTAGGAACTTAATTAGATTTGTAACTGAACCCCTCCCAATGTCTAATCTTACATAATTAAAAGGAAAGTAGTGGGTTACAGATCACTCTGTATTCAATGTTTGTCCAAGAGTAGTCACTAAATAATGATGGGAAGTGGTCTGTCTTGTCTCACAGTAGGGGAAAATGTATTTCAGAATTAAGTTTAAGAGATAAATTTCAAGATTTTGAAAGATTAAAATCTCACATAACTGATTAACTGAGTTCTTTAAGAAAACCAGTGAAGGCTGAGATCAGACTAAAAGATTGATTCAGGAATTTTTCACTAATGGAAATGAGCATTTATTTTAGAAGGTGATACATAAGGTAAGATTGGGAGTGTTTCAAATCAAACTTATTTAATAATTTTGTGATAATAATTATCGCCACTTCTCAGCATTCTGAAATATATTTACGCCCACTGTTAAATGAGATAAACCATTTCCCTAAAGAGCTTTCAAAAAATACTGAGTGAACATATTTTTTAAAAATAACCAGAAGAGTAATTAAAAATATACTGGATTTTGTATTTTCCAGGAAGTATATTCAGAATGGCATTGGCTTATGAGCACCAGAAAACCTACATAATTGGGTCAGTGTGTTTTAAAAGGATAATTCCAGAAAGCACAAGGTTACAGGAAATCTGAGAACGCAGCTTTCCTCAGTCATCCTGATTAGAGTTTAGGCTATTGATTGCTGTTAAAGTTCTAAAATGTCAGACCCTGATGAGTCCAACAAGCCTTTATAGGAGAGATGGACAGGCTCAGAAAAAGCAGTAGACACAGTTAAACTTCCTGAGTAATAACTTGGATCAGAAAAAGGCACAGGCTATGAATTCTACAGCCCCCGAGCCTTCCACCCCCTGGAAGACGGTATTGATGCAGCAAGGGCTTGGTCTGCACACTTCCACACTTAGAACTGCAGAAGCAAAGAGAGACCTAGGAGAGAGCATTGCTTCTTAAGCGTATCTGTAATCTCCTGCCTAGACAGAGAAATTCAGTAAATTAAACAAACATTCATATTATCTATATTAACCATGTACCAACCTACCGAGCTAACATAGTCAAACAGGAAATATGTTCTCCTTAGAAAATCATGGAATTCAAACCATGAAAAAAATCAATCATTTCTACTACCTCCAATACATGCATTAAAAATTTAATTAGTCATGAATTTTTTAAAAAAATTGAAACAAAACAGAACCTTTTGGGGCCAGGGATTTAGCTGAGTGGTATAAGTGCCTACCTGGCAAGTGTGCAGTTGTGGGTTTGATCCCTGGTACCACACACACACCCCCAAAAAACCCTTTGGTTATACACAGTTGGTGTTATTTCAGTAATGTTCAGTTTTACTTGAGGCATAAAAAATCAATGCTTTTGCTAAATATTGCTTTAAAATTTTTGAATAATCCATTGTGGATTTAAATGCAAAAGCATCAGCTTTCAGGATGTCACGAGGAGACACAAAGCCACAGGCAAACACAGGGAGGCGCGTACACAGATGCACACAGAAGCGGGAGATGCACTCTGTAAACAAGGCAAAGGTTTGCGGATGACTCTGTGGTGGTGGCCACCTGCCTGGAGGAGCTCTGCCCATACAAGGCGTGAAGGTTTATTATTCTGGAGAGGTGGCACAGAACACAAGCACAGCTTTCCTAGGCAGAAGCAAGGAGAGCATTTGTCATGCTGACTTTACTCCACAGAATATGCAACATTAAGATGATGATAAGGGTTGCCAGCCAAGACAGTGTCAGGCATCCAGTAGAAATATTTCCACACGTCTTACTAAGCTCCTGTGATTGAGGAGTAAATAAGCAAGGCTGGAAATCCTAAATAAATTATGGGTGTTGGTTCCATAAAAACTGGACTCCAGGAACTAGGTCTGTGTTCATAGAAAAGCCTGAATTGGCAGTGTGGCAAAACTTTGAGAGAGTAAGTAGGATAATTAATAAAAAGTAAAATCTTGTATCACATGCACAGAGTTCTTCTTGATTTCTCAGCTCAATAAATCAGATAAAATGCAAAACTACCAGGTCTGAAGATCAGAGGTCTTTAGTGGTAGTCTTGAGGACTGCAATTCAAATGTGATTTTAAGTTACCTTCCATTTTCTCTCTTGAAAGAATCACATTATGTCCATTTTTAAATTAAGCATCTGAACTTTTGTAAGTGGCACATGTCATTGATACTGTCTGTAAAGTCATCCTAATCTGTGGTACTTGCTCGTTTCCATGGTGCTAGATTAATCCAGTAAGTCTCTGGGGTTTTATCTGCACGTTATGGAGGCAGCTCTGCCGGGTGACCAGGGAGACTGATGACCACACTGTCTTACACGTTTCCTCCCATCACCCCTCCTGCGCCCCTCATTATCCTGGGGCCTGAACCCATCATTTCTGGTTGTCGTTGTGGTTGCTGCTGTTTTATCATTTTTCTGTTGTTTTGTTTTTTAAGATTAAGTTTATGTTTTTAAAGTTTATTTATACACTTTAGATACACATAATGGTCACATTCATCCTAGAGAATTTGTACCTGTGCATGATATATCTTCACTTCTCTTTGTTCCCCATTTCCCCCCCTTCAATCCCTCCTCTCCTCACATATACAAAAGCAACGTTTGCCTTATTTTCTTCTCTTCTTTTTTAAAACTTTCCCTTCCTTCCTTCTCCCCTTCCCTACTCTTATTCCCCTTGGCATCTGAACATTTTCTTCCTGTTTTTCAATGTGTATTATACATTTTGGTCCTGATTTACCCTTTGTGTTTCTCACACCAGAGAAACAATGTGGTCTTTTGCTTTGTTTTTCTGTGTTTTTGTTGTTTTGTTTTGAGACAGGATTTTGCTAAACTTTCTAGACTGGTGTGAGCTTGTGGTCATCCTGCCTCAGCCTCCCAGAGTGCTGGGATTAAAGGAGTGGACTACTATGCCTGGCTTACAGATTTTGCTTTGAAGTGAAAACTGACTACTTGATTTCTTCCAGGAGTATCCTATGCTGAAGTGACCCTATCATTCCCATCGTAAAGTCCCAACGTATGCACCCTAACTGGATGGCAGCCTCTAACGGAGAACTAACTGAGAGGGCTGCCTTTACAGGGAAGCCCTGCAGGTCCAGACTTCCTCACAGTTGTCATTCGGGGTTCACCAGCATCTCCTGCATTAGCTGTCTGGCTGGCTCCCCTAACTGCACTGTTTTACCACTGCCATGATGTTTGCCGTGCTATGCTCTGTTATGTATTTATTCAAACACTAGTAAACTGGCATTTTAAAAGCAAGTGAAAACAAGCAAAAACAGCCTTAATTTATAGCATTCTCCTGCTTCCGCATTGTAAATCCTTCACCGTGTCCGAGGCACGCCATCCACACAGTGTCACTGACTATTCCGTTGTGACAGGGTGTGCACAGCCTGTTTAATAAGATGGGACAAGTTGCTTCCAGCACAAAACTGTGATGAACACATTCTGTCTCTGGTCTGTGTTTATTCTTACAGTATATCAAAATATCCTAGGATTTTCTTGTTAGGTCCCAACATTTTTGATTTAAGAAAATGACAGTGAATCATTGTTAACATAATTTAAGGTTTTAAGTAATAACAGGTGGAATTTAAAATATGATATGGCAGAAAAATACTTTTATAAGTGTCTTAGGTAGAATAAACTTGAAAGCTTATATCTACCATATAAAAATCAATGTTCATTGCAAAGAATATTCCTTGTAGTTCTCCAGCTGTCCAGAGAGAGAATCTAGAGGATGGGAATGACCCCACGATTTGACTTATAATTGAAAATTATTATATATTTTTGAGAACCTAGTTATAGTACTGCACTGAACAAAGGTGAAATATGTAGTCCTGGACCACTGGCTACATCTGTAAAGATCATTATTTTAAAATGTTTGTAATGTAATCTGGTGAATAATGTCAAGGGTAGACAATTCTGAGTATTGGGTTTGATAGACTGTTTCTCCAAATGGCCAAAGAATAAGTATTTTAAACACTGCAGACTCCAGGTCTCTGTCCTGAATGTCCTTCTGTGATCCTCACAGAAAGCGTCCAAGCTGCCCATGTCAATTCGTGGTCATGGCTTTGGAAAGAAGCTGGTTTAACAAAAAGATGGCAGATGCAACCTGACCTGAGCCCTCTGAATCTCAAACTTTTGTAGGTCTGATCACAAAGCACCTTGTATTTACAAAACACTACTGTAGGCAAATCCAAAGTGCTTTTTAATAACACAGCTCCAGTCTGTAAAAACTCTTGACTAATTACTGATTTTGCAAACAACATACTCCTATAGCTCACCAATTACCAAAGAGACAATGCAATTTAAAAGAAAATGCACATGCTTGTGGATACATCTTCTCTTATGTGACTATACCAAAATGTCACAATTAGCCATTAGCAAAGAAGGTAATCTATGCAGTAATGGCGGAGAACATTTAAATATCAAATTAAAGCGTGTTTCATGTGAGTATATTCACCGTGGTTTATTTTGATATGGCTTATTCTTACCTTCCACAAGTTTCCCTGTCTGTTCCGCACTTCCCCCAGGAAGAATCTTCGCAATGTAGGCTCCAATTTCTCCATTGTGTCCAGGGATTTCTTTACCACCCACAATCCTAATTCCTAGTCCATTACCTGTATTGAAAAAGTAGCAAGTCATTAGGAGTAAGAAGGGTCAATGGTAATTACAGCCGTAGGAAACACAAACAGTGGACCTCCGTCCTAGGAGCTAGGTACAACACTAATTTGGAACTAGACCTATATAACAAAAGCGTATTACACTGATTTCAATTATAGAGCACATGAAATAAGGTTTTCTGAGAGTATACCACAGTCTAAAATTAAGCTGCATTAACAAATAAATATTTGGATTCATCCATATTCAATCACAGGCTAAGGCATTTTAACCAAATATATTATAACATTTTATAAAAGGATACTCACAGAGTAAGAAACCGTTATCACAATCTGAACACTAGAATGACTGCAAGGCATATGTGAAAGCAGGATCATAATCTAAGAACTGCTACAGAGTATCCAGTCTTAACTCATCAACCGATACTGTTTGTGGCACAACGAATTGTTCTTCATTAATAATTCAGTAAACTGCTCCTCACTCCACAGATTTTTCTATAATCAGCCCCATAGAATGAAGACAGAATAATTATTATGCGAATTCTAACTGACACAGATTTGAACTGTTTATATTTTAAGCTTGCATGTTGTTTCAGTACCAGATACAGTTTTGGTACAAATATCAAGGATATGTTAACGTAACACGTCCTAAAAGAAAGCGGAGTTCTTCATCTTTAGTGACGGCAGAATGAACTATTGCTTTAAAACTTAAATTCATTCCAGCAATTGAAACAGCATTTTAAAATTCTTTCAAAATCTCCAGCTTTAAAGAGCTACTGCATTTCTAAGTGATGCCCCCATGTTGGGAGCCGCGTCTGTGATAGCTCGCCTTGCGCAGCGGACGTGCGGCCTGTGGTAAAGAGCAAAGCCTGAGGTAGATTACCCCTCCCATCGAATATGTTAGTTTCCTGCTTACCGCGTAAACAACCCGCTCAACAATATAGTCTGCCTGGCAACTGATGATGTTAGCCAATCAGCTTGCCTTGCTTACTTTAACATGATTGGACACTGTACCCGTATATATACCGGTGCCACCCCTGGGCGGAAGAAGAAGCCAGGTAGAAGCCCAGAAGTAAAAGCCCAAAAGGAGCCGCGGAGAGCGGACCGGTAGAGGCTTTGGGGCAGACTGAAGCACAAAAGGAGCCGCGGGGAGCGGACCAGAGGAGGCTTCAGCTGGGAGAACCCAGGGCAGGCTGTACGGAGAAGGAAAATAAAAAGAAAAGGTTGTCCACTACCGGACTTTGTCGTGTGTCCTTCCTGCCGGCCGGGAGCGGACATCGACATTTGGAGGCCCGCCCGGGGACTGATCACCCCCGAGACGTGGAAGTGGACAACGCTCCAGTACAGAGCTGCGAGACAGGTGAGTTGGGGATAAGCCTGGGCTCTGGGTGGCGCGCACCTACAGGGCTTTTAGACTCCCCTCAGGCTCACGCGTAAGTGGCGGATTCCTTGGGCCTCACGCGGTGAGTAACATATTAAAAGATGGGAAACATGTTAGGTAGCAACATTAAGAGCGAGGGTGGTTGTGGAGAAAGCTCTCAAGAGCTTACAAAAGTACGCAGGGTATCTGAGCAGGCCCAGTCAGGGAGCTCCCGAGAGGGGTCCGTCAAGGGGAACAAGGATGCTAAGGAGGAGGACGGGGCTCTAGCCTCGGAGTCGTCTGACTCCGAGGACGAGGGAAAGTTGAATGGCAAGGAGGCCAAAGAGACCAGCTGTCAGGAGCCTAAATCGCTCAATAAGGAGTCGCAGGGTTCTTTTCCAGCGTTGCCCCGCGAATTGCGCTCTGCTCAACCTGGTCTGTGGAGGAGTAGAGAGCTCCTGAGCGCTCCCCGGCGCGAGAGGGAGGCGAAGCCTTCCGCCCCACCTTGGGGGCCGTTTCCGGAGGCGATTCCTCGCCACGAGGCGGCCGCCTGGGAGCTCTCTCCCCTTTCGCCAGAACAGGAAGTGATGCACGGGCCCCCATTTTCCGCCCAATCACGGCCGCTGTCTTATGCTCCGCCGCCGGCGGGTCGGTATTTTTACAGGCGGCTTTGGCAGGGGGGACGCTTGTCTCATGAGGTACATCCATCTGGGATAGATAGTGGCCCCTACGGGATATTTCCTGTACAAGTAGCTATGGGCCAGGGACGCAATGTATGGGAGCCTTTTGAGATAAAGCAGATTAGAAAACTTAAAAATGCAGTTACAACCTTTGGGCCGACTGCGCCTTACACCATTGCCATGCTGGAGAATCTGTCTTCTGGGCCCCTCACCCCCGCGGACTGGATTCAGCTGGCAAAGGCGTGTCTGCCCTCGGGTAGTTACCTGGATTGGCGAGCCTGGTACACAGAGTTCTCTGCCGAGCAGGCTGAGAAAAACGCCGGTCGAGGAAATGGGAGCTGGGGATTTAGCTTAGCGGCATAAGCGCCTGCCTTGTAAGCAGGCAATCGCCAGTTCGATCCCTGGTACCAATAAAAAAAAAAAAAAAAAAAACGAAAAAGATAAAAATAAAAAATAAAAAATACAAAAACAAAAAGGGGGAGTAGGCCAAGGCCTGGCCCCAAAGGCACGATTATCCATGGCACTATTCACACACAATTTTTTAAATTTAAATAATGATAATCGCTCCCCAGCTGTGGAGCACTGCAACCCTTCCCCCAACCATAAAGGGTGGGTGAAGTGGAAAGATGTCCTGACAGGACAATGGATGGGCCCGGATCCAGTGGTCAGCTGGAACCGAGGCGCGGTTTGTGTTTTCCCACAGGAACCGGGACGAGAACCACTGTGGATACCGGAGAGACTGACATGGGCAACAAAGCCCTCGACTGAAGATCAGACCTGCCCTACTGGAGATCCATCACAGACCAACCAATAAGATGAATAGAAATAGCGGTAGCCCGAAATGGACAAGAAGATCCTCAGGCATATGCATGGCTTGCTCAATCGGCCCACGACCGAGTCTAGATATGGCGGGCATCCCTCATTCTCCTCCATAAGGTGACAATACACAGCAGGGTAGGTGAGTCAATGACGGGTAAGAGCGTGCCTCCCCAGCACGACTCGACCTAAGCCAGGCCCTACCCCATCCTGCACGTAAGCCGCTGGACTGTTAGATGCTGCCCAGGTCTAAATTTCTCTCCGAGGGGATTCCTTTACGGAGAGGAAATGAGTGCAAGCTTGTGTGCATCCAGGTTCCGTCCAGTTTGTGCCTGGCCCTAGAAAAAGGACGAGGGCCTCAGGGCCTTGGCAGACCATGGCATGGCCAACCAGGGTCTAAGCCAAGGACCTACGGTGGACCTACACATAGGGCATAAGCCTCTGCACCCAGTCCAGGAAGGGCTACGATGCGCACATTCATAAAAAATAAAATAGGGGGAGATGTTGGGAGCCGCGTCTGTGATAGCTCGCCTTGCGCGGCGGACGTGCGGCCTGTGGTAAAGAGCAAAGCCTGAGGTAGATTACCCCTCCCATCGAATATGTTAGTTTCCTGCTTACCGCGTAAACAACCCGCTCAACAATATATTCTGCCTGGCAACTGATGATGTTAGCCAATCAGCTTGCCTTGCTTACTTTAACATGATTGGACACTGTACCCGTATATATACCGGTGCCACCCCTGGGCGGAAGAAGAAGCCAGGTAGAAGCCCAGAAGTAAAAGCCCAAAAGGAGCCGCGGAGAGCGGACCGGTAGAGGCTTTGGGGCAGACTGAAGCACAAAAGGAGCCGCGGGGAGCGGACCAGAGGAGGCTTCAGCTGGGAGAACCCAGGGCAGGCTGTACGGAGAAGGAAAATAAAAAGAAAAGGTTGTCCACTACCGGACTTTGTCGTGTGTCCTTCCTGCCGGCCGGGAGCGGACATCGACACCCCCACCCCCATTTTACTTTTCAAAATCAATTCTAGGGCCAACATCAGTCCAGCTTAAACATTAAAACGCAACAGGTAAGACCTGCTGGAATTTTTTGTCAGATGTGAAGCCGGGATACACTCTGATAAAATCAGGTCTCTTTTTCCAGGTAGATTTGATACTCCAAAGGAATTTCTCCCCACTCCTCTCCTCCTTCCCTCCCCTGCTTTCTGTCCTGGTTTTCCTCCATCTTTTCCTCTCCTTCTTTACTCCCTGGTCCCCTCCCTTTGTTTTTGGAGCTGATGAAGTATTTTTCAAGATTTTGCATCAAAAAAAGAATGAAGTAAATGAAACAAACTGTCTGCTTTGACATGTTGGGGTGCTAGGGGTGCAGTTAAGACAGAAGCCACTCTTTCAGGCCTTTGAGGAGAGACTTGTCACATGTTTCCAGAGCCAACACTGTTTCAGCAGAACTCAATTTGTGAAATAAACTTATCATAACTATGAATGCAAATAATCTGCTATCGTGAGTTAAGACTGAACTCAGTCCACATAAAGACAGCTGAGTTCAGGGGCTGGAGATTTACCTCAGCGGCATAAGCGCCTGCCTTGTAAGCAGGCAGTCGTGAGTTCGATCCCTGGTACCGATAAAAAGGAAAAAGACAAAAAAAAAAAAAAAAAAGACAGCTGAGTTCTTTGACTCTGGACTTGAAGGACTCATCAGTACCAACTGCTGACTACTGCCCGCTGCTTCTGTAGGTGAGAGGCTTCCTTAGTCACATGCCACACACTGTGGGGCCTGGCTCTGGGCTTTGCAGGACACAGAGCAGGACACAGGCTAACCGACAGCTACTGAGGACAATGCGAGTGCTTCCATTAAATGGTGTGAAGTACGCGGGGAACACATGGTTTGTAGAAAAGAGAGATTCAATAATCAAAGTAGCAAAAACTTGCTAATAAAATATATTACTTCTAACTTTAGTACAATGTAAATAATTAGTCTTTGGAAATGTCTAAGTATAAGCATGTGATAAATAGGGTATGCTATTAGCTAAGTGAGATCATGTATTAAACAGGCTATGCAAAAGACAAATCTGGGCACACAGGCAAAATATTTATATTTAAATTTAGTTTTCAGTTTAAAATCTACTTTAATTTTGCATATTTATTAATTTGTC